CAAGGCATTTTCGTTGACTTGCCTATGCGGCAATCTTCGCATACATTTTCAACCACCTTCGTGTTCTCTAATCCACGAACGCAGTTGAGTTCTGCAGTCTTTTTAATCGTGCTTTGGCCTACATGACATAACCTCTGATGCCATATGGCACTATCTTTTACACTTATGTTATGAGATTCTAATTTCCCTCGTATGCGTGTAATCGTCTGTACTCTGACCACATACAGGTCGTTTTTCCTATCGGCAATGCACATAAGTTGACCATTTTTTATATCACGTATTTCCGCCATTCCATTCCGTATGAGAATTTGCTTTGACCTCTGTTCTATTTGTGATGCGGATAAAAGATTCTTTCTCAAATCTGGAACGTAATATACATTATGTATTGTTACGTATAATTCTTGTCTGCCAACAAATATCTTAATTTCAATGTCGCCAATCCCTTTGGCTTCAAGTTTGTTATTTGATTGTTCTGCTGCCATGTTAATTGGTTCTATTTTCACTTCTTTGAATGTTTTAAACCAATCTCTTCTTTTGCATACGAGCTTCGTACAACCACTGCCCAACAACCATGAATCTTTCATGTCTATATTATTTAGTGAGACCAGAAAACCATTATCACTCTCCTTTTTCCTTCGATTTAAATTGGAATTTTGGTTTTGGATTTTCGTGCGATTCTTTGTCCAACAGTTCTTTATGTCGTGCCCTTGCTTTTTACAATGTGAACAAAATATAGATTTAGGTTTATTAGCGGTCGACGCGTGTGTGTGCGAGTATTTCGTTTTTCTTCCAATTTGAAGAGCTTCTAATTGATTTTCATTTTCATCCGGGCATCTAGATTTACGCCTGTCATATTCTGTTAAGAGTGCTTTACTGATTTTTGCCGTCGTGGAACTGTCTTCCGGTAAATTCGCTACAGACGTGTTCAAAGTTTCATACGATTCTGGTAAACCAGCTAACAATATATACGCTAAATCTTCATCTTTTACGGGTGAACCTGCTCCTCTAATTGTAAGATCATTTGCTATTTGTTAGGGATAGGTGGCCCTAACTAGGAGTCCGGAGGAGAAACGGTTGTGTTAATAAATGTACGCTAGGTTTTCCAAAAAAAAAGAACCCAATTTATTTAGAAAG